GGGAGGGACAGGTGAATTAACCTGCATCAAAAACAATCAAGTATGTTACCACTGTTCTTCTTTTAATAAAAAATAAGGTTTTAATAGTAAGACTTGGAAAGGAGATAATTACTATTATGAAAAATCCAGTCTGAAGTGAGTTTAGGCCTTACAGACAAGTAAAGGCATATGAATTAGTAATGAAATAGAATCTAATATAGAGTGTTTATAAATAAACCAACAAATGAATGAATTCCTGTGAAAACAAGCATGCATTTTATTAACTATGTGGCATATCCTGTGTCAAATACCATGGGTAGCATAAAGTAACAGAGAAACAAAGGAGGCAGAAAGATTAATAGGCATGTGACAGGAATACCAGTTCCCTCAGAAAGAAAAGACTAAAAACTGGCTTATTTATCTCACAAGTATGTGGTCAAGACTTATACAAATGAAAATTGTTAATTTTCTCAATATTCCTACCAATTCGGAAGTCTGAGGTAATCCTCCTCATTTCATTCATCAGATCTGTTCCCAGACTTTTTACATTCTCCAAGTCATCTTTCATCGAGTAAGAGAGATCCATAAGGTAGTAGAGATCAATAGGATAGTCTTCTGCTCTCTTGAATTTTAATGTAAATGTCTGTGGCTCTCCTAATTAAATGGATTAGAAAATGAAATCAGCCCACAGCAATCCAATGCAAATGCAAAAAAAACAAACTGTATTTACAAAGTGAATGCTGTAAAATGAAATTTATCAGTGCCACAATTTTGACAAAAACCTAGGAATTCCACAGGTAACAAATTGTGTGTAAACTCAATTTCATACAACTGTAAACACTTAAAATGCCAGGCCCTGGGGATGAAAAATGAGAGACAACAATCCACAGTGGGCAAGACAATCAGTCAATTTATAATTGTGACACATGGAAATAGATGGAGCAACATCAATTAGACTGGCTGCATAAGGCAGGCGCACATAAGCATCACTGATTGTTGAGAGACTGCAATTGAAGACTGCTCTTTAATGGAATGCCACCACATGCAAATGAATCATAATAATCTGATTTCTACTTTAGAAAACTTGGCAAAAAGTCTTCAATATGAACCCTAGAGACTTGTTAGGAAACTAAAGCAATAATCTAAAAGGGAGACAATGAAGATATGAACTGAAACAATGGGGAGAGGAGAGACACACAGAGGTGCTGGGTATGATTCACCTAGGAAAACAGGAGAAAGAGAAGGGGTGGGTGAAACAGCCGGTGGTTAACTTGCAGATTTTCTCCGTATGGATTTCTAGTAGGCAGGTGGGGAGATGGGTTTGGAGCTTAAGAGAAAAGCCTGAGCAAACAAATGGTTTTAAAACTATGAGAGGAAAACTGATTAGGTGGACTGCAAAAAGGAAGAAACACAAAAAGGAGAATGGAAAGCAAGGTTAACATATAAGAAGAGAAACTGGGGAGTGATGTAAAAGCCAAGATGACAGCATTTCAAGGAGTTTGAAGGCATCACTTGGTACAGACAGGTTAAAAGAAAAAGAAAAAGAAAAAAGGAAAAGGCTGTAACACAGGTCCACTGGGCATAGTGGCTCAGGGGCTGGTAACTCTGGACAGCCATGCTGGTTTGGAAGCAGAGGCCTGAAGGCACCAGGGTGAAGACTGGACAGGAGGGAAGGTCATGAGACAGCAGTGGAGCCATTCTTTTGGGAGAAAGGGGGATGGCACGCGGAAGGAAGAGGAGGGCTCTCTTATAGGTTTTTCTGCTTTTGCTTTTTTTCTTAGATGCAGGACTAACACAGACTCATAAAAACCTTAGCATTTTAACAATTCTCAACAAATACAAAGGAAAAAATAGGTTAAAGTGTCTTTATTTTATATAATTATACTAGAGAATGGACACTTTTGTTTTTAAAACCTATGAAATCTAATACTTCCTGAATCTTTAACAGAATTTACTTTGGACATTAAGCAACATTTATTATTATATCAAGTATATGCATCTTACAGATACTATGTCTGCAAGAAACCTTCTAAAATTTGACATATTCCCCATTCCTGAGTGATAGTCCACATGGGAAATGGATCCTCAGCCGGAACAGGTAAGAGGCTCATAAGAAGCTGTCAGGAAGCTCAGGCAGCGCAGGTATTCACAGGACTCCTGTACCTGATCGTAACTGCAGTACCAATTGCTGCGGCTGGATCTGGGTGATGTCTTCTGGCTGGAGCTTCTCTGCCGTCCCTTTGCTACGGTTGGTTACATTTTTGTTTTTCTTTATATCTTTGGAGCCTCTGGGATTTTCTATGTCATCTGGATGACAACCCTTCTTTTTTAAGGCTTCTAAATCATCACATCGGGCAGAAGTAGGCATTCCTTCTTGTAAAAATGTCTAAGTGACATACAAAATATAGGTATAATTAAAAAGCATAATGGTCAAAACTTTTATGTAATTGTAGTTGCAAATATGCAATTGAATTGCAAAAATCTAATTGCAAAACTCAACCAACACATCTAATGTACTTCATTTATGGCTTTTAAATAAAATGTTCCCCTCATCCAAATCGCATGTCTTCTTGTTTAAAAATAAGCAAAATTGTTCCCTAGAAAGTAATACTTTTATTTACTATAAAGTTTCTAGTAATAGAACAGACCTAAGTGTACATTTTAACTGTTCCACCTTCAAATTCAGAGTATCTAATCAAATCCCTTCAGTGAAATCACTTATTTAGCATGATTAACATCCACTAATAATGTATACACCCAAATATTGAACATTTTTTTCCAGAATTTCCCTTAAAAAAGTCCTTGAAAGTCTCTCATAGTTATGTAGCATTTTCCATCATAATACTCTGAACAACTCTATGTTTAGGGAAAACATATTACCCTAAAGGCATCTCAATTAATGATGTTATTTTTAAAAAGGAGACTAAGAAATTCAGCAGAGATTTCAAAAATTCCTGGAGGTTTAAAAAAACTTCAAGTACTAGCAATTGTTAATAGCCTTTTAAAATTTATTTTAAAAATACAGTAAGTGATGATATGATAAGGGACATTTTCTTTTTTTTTTGTGAGGGCATCTCTCCTATTTATTGATCAAATGGTTGTTAACAACAATAAAATTCTGTATAGGGGAGTAAATGCTCAATGCACAATCATTAATCCACCCCAAGCCTAATTTTCGTCAGTCTCCAATCTTCTGAAGTATAACGAACAAGTTCTTAGATGGAGAACAAATTCTTACATAGTGAATAAGTTACATGGTGAACAGTACAAGGGCAGTCATCACAGAAACTTTTGGTTTTGATCATGCATTATGAACTATAAACAATCAGTCCAAATATGAATATTCGTTTGATTTTTATACTTGATTTATATGTGGATACCACATTTCTCTCTTTATTATTATTATTTTTAATAAAATGCTGAAGTGGTAGGTAGATGCAAGATAAAGGTAGAAAACATAGTTTAGTGTTGTAAGAGAGCAAATGTAGATGATCAGGTGTTTGCCTGTAGACTAAGTGTTAATCCAAGACAAGGGCAATAAAATATCCACGGATGCAGCAGATTTCTCTCAGAACAGGGGGGGAGAGGTTCTAAGCCTCACCTCTGTTGATCCCCAATTTCCCAATTTCTCACCTGATGGCCCCCCTGCGACTGTGCCTGTCTTAGGTTGTTCCTCCCTTGAGGAATCGATAAGGGACATTTTATATTTCCACAGGGTAAATTTTAAAAAAATAAAATTAAAAAGTTCCTAATTGTATGTAAATGGTTCCTATAGCTGTGGTAAATTTCCAGTAGTATGCTATATTAATTTGGACATTACTATGGAAATGAATGTGCTATACCTCAAAACAACTTAGATGGAAATGAAAATTTTATCAGATGCCTCTCGCTAAGGAATACTTTAGTGAGAGCAAAAACACTGCTGTTAAAATGTACGTAAAGATTTTGTAAGTTTTTCATGAAACAGAGGGTGGGGGAAAAGCAATGATACTGTGTGTGTGTACATCATTTAAAAATGTATACATATAACTAAATTAATAATTGTAGTAGACATTTGTGTATTTCACATATACCCCTAATAAAAATCTTTTTTTTTTAATCTTTACATTGGGAAAATGGGGGAATGACTTTTATTTGGGGTCACTTTGTTCAATTTTCTGTGGTACCTTTTATTATCAACCAATTTCATAGCACTGCATAAAGTAAATGAGGATACTTATATACAGAGAATACACAATGGTTCCCATCAGTTATTTTTTAAGGAAAATGTAACACTAATTAAAGCATTTATGTAATCAAAGGAACAACTAGGAGGAAATACTAAGGGTCAAGATGGCTCAAATATTACTTTTAATGGCCGATAATAATATTTCTACATATTATCAAACCTAATATACTAACAAAACCCAGGAGCCCAGTGCACTATACACTATCAGCCAGTCCAGGAAACCTTAAGATGGTAACAGCCAAATAAAATTTCAACGGATATATTCTAAAATAACCTTTAAATTTTTTAAGAATTACAGCATTGAGAATATAGTCAATAGTTCTATAATCTTTCTATGTTGACAGATACAAACTGCACTAGTTGGGTGAGGATTTAATAATGTGTGTAACTATTGAACCACTGTTGTATACTTGAAACCAATACTGTATATCAATTATAATTCAAAAAAAATTTTTTTTTAATTTTAACAACCGGACCACAAAGATCAAAGCCTAAATTATTTAAAGAATAGTTTGGCTAGGATAACCCACAATCCCAGATAAACTATAACCCTCATAAAATGGATACTGTTGTTGATACAGAAGCTACCAGTGATTTAGAAATTCTAGTTGAAACTGCTTTAAGTTCAATCAATTCTAATTCTTGTGGCAACACATAAAAAGCAGGCAGTAGCATGCTTATTTTCCAGAAAAGACAACAGAGTTTCAGGTACATGAGCCTTGCCTGAGACAATCCATAGCACTCTGGTTCTCCACAGTCGCCAGTTTAACTCCAGAATATCATTTTCAAGAGAACAGAAAGTGCCATAAGAAAAATTCTGAAATAACCAAAAGCCTTTGATTTTGTCTATCAGGTGGTAAAGCATATAAAATATCTGATATTTAACCAGTTATACCTATAAACAGGCACTCAAAATTGTGGGGTAGAATGTCTTAAACAATAAACCTTTGACATCCCTATATTTTTCACTCTGAAAAAATAATATATCCTCAAAATGACTTCTCTTTACTTCCTATCATTATTCATTCATTTGTTCATTCACTCATTCAACATTTAGTAGATTTTGTGGAAGGTACCAAGTTAAGCAATGTACAGAGATGACAAGTCAATGAAGTTTGAATCCTAACCTCAATGGCTTTTATTAGGATGCAATCAATTCTCTTTTAGTTTAACTCCAATATAATTAGGGAAGTTAATTTATACCTCTCCCATCAAAAAAAGGGAAAAATCTAAAACAGCCAATGGCTAGGGTTTTTAGGAAGCTGTCCAACCGAAATATAATGTGTGCCATAAAGGTGTGTTATTATATATTTTCTAATCATCTAGTAGCCACATTAAAGAAGAAAAATAAAAACAAGGGAAATTAATTTTAATATATACAAAATATTAGCTTTTCAACATTATTAATGATATTTTTAATCACTAAGTCTTCAAACTTTGGTATGTGGGCAATTCCCAATTTAGACCACCCATATTTCAAATGCCACGTGTGCCCAGTGGTTACTGCATGGGACAGCACAGCTACAGACCATAACACAGTATTACACACAGAGTTGACACTCAGTAAACAGTGACTTAAGAAAAAATTCCTGTCTAAGCACTTCCCATGGATACAGTATTGGGCAACACTGAATGACTAAATGGGGAATAAATGGAAAGGATTGAGCAATCTTACTTACTGAATTTGTACACCATCCACAATTTGGCCCTGCCTGTATACATTCTCCACATGATTTGGCATTTGCTTTTAAACATCTATTTTCATCTGTCAGGACAAAGAAAGAATAGACCGCTTTACTTGAAGTTTCAAAAGAGAAAACAATGAAACAGCAGCATCACAATGACAAAGAATGCCACATATAGGAGCATTAAATATGAATACTATGAATATAGTTACTAAGCTGATCCAAAAAGACCTACCCAAAAGGACCCTAAAGAGAAGGGATTTTTGAATCATCTTAGCACAGAGCCATAAAAAGACATAGCTATCTCTTATCTTCTATACCAAAGACTAGGTACCATTAATCTATACATAGATCCTTTTTTTCAAAGGCATAATTTTATGATTATGTTGGTCTTAATTGCCAGGTTTCCTACAACTGGGTCAAGTATTCTTGCTTTCCATGAACCTCACAATAACCCACCCCCCACAGCACTTTCAGTGGCTTTCCCTTAATTTTTAGTATGTTCAATACTTGAAAAGTCTGAATCAACCAATCCACAATCCCATGCTTTTTCAGGCTTTGTGTTCAAAGTATGGCTTGCACTTCTTTGAATCCCTAAGGATCAGCATGTTTTTCATGTGGTAAAGCACTACTAGTAAGGATTGTCTTCAATGTGTCTTTTCTGATTATAAACCTAACATATGCTCATTACAGAAAATTTAGAAAATACATAGAAGGGTAAAGAACTAAAAACCACCCATAATCTGCACACTAAGAAATAACTATTGTTAATGGTTTTGCATATTCTTTCCAGTCTTTTCCCTATATAGATCAAAAGATAGCAAGGAACTGGGCATATACAGACATTACCCAAATGAAATTGATAATATACATTTTACACATTATGTTTTATACTTTATCCTAAGTGTTTCAATACAAATGCTTAAAAATACGTATTTTAATGATTACATACTTCATCTTATTAATGTGTCCTATTTAATATTGGATGAATTTGTTTTCAGCTGAATTCACACATTCTTGGTCACATGCACACACCAACCCTCCAAACATGCACATATATATATGTACCCACTCTCATAGTCATTCTTAGAATGTAGAACTGATTATCACAATTAAAAAAAATATTGACTTGAAGAGTATTAATGCTTTTAATGTACTTAATACACATTAATTTCTCACCAGAATCATCAAATATATGTTCCCTGTGATGTAACGACTTAAAGAAATGCCTATTTGATCATTCAGATGACCAAACACATTTCTCAGCACTCTAGTCTTCACCCACAGTTCCTGAAAAATGTTTCAGAATCACAAAAGAGATTTTTGTGTCTTGTTATTAACAAAGGTAACTTCTGGACCTCATCCAAGTGTGGGGGATATGTTGCCAGAAAGACCAGCAATGTGATTAAAGGGTTGAACTTTCCCAAATCTCTGGGAAGGGGAGAGGGGCTGGAGGTTGAATCAATCACCAATCATGCCTACGTAGGGAAGCCTCCATAAAAACCCAAGGAGAGCTTTTTGTTCTTTCCCATTTTTCAGAGCTTCCACACTTGGGGGACCAGAACACATCCATGTGCCACTGAGCCACACCCCAGACTCCATGAGGATGGAAGGTCTTCAGTCTGGGACCTCATCTATGTACCTCTTTACCTGGTTAATTCCTATCCTTTTCATATCCTTTAATAAACAGGTAAACGTTAAGTGTTTCCCTGGATTCTGTGGACTGCTCTAGCAAATTAATTGAACATGAGGAGGTTCTTGGAACCTCCAAAATGTAGCTGGGCTGTTGAGAATCACACATAAGAGCGTGGGCTTGCAAATGGCGTACGAAAGGGGGTGGAAGGAGAGGCATCTTGTAGGATGGAGCCCTCAGCCTGGAATCTGATGGTATCTTGGGTAGAGAGTGTCAGAACCAAGTTGAATATATGGACACCTTGCTGATGTCCGAGAATTGTCTGGTGGAAACTGGGTCCTGAACACCAGTTCACAAATGTTTTGCTTGAAATGTATGTTTTGAAATTTGGAGAACAGAATTGGAAGTCCATGTTCCAAATGTGGATGCACCACGGTTTACAAGGAGATATACTTTCAGCTTTACCTTTCATTCATCTTCTAGATGATGCCAACATTTTACAAGACTTTTTTGGGGGGAGAAAAACAAACAAACAAGAACATCTAGGAAGTCAATTGTTCCTGGTTTCTTTTTTTAGATAATAATGGTTAGCTCATAATCCCCCCTCTACACATTCAGCTTCTCCTAAATAGGTCACACGCCATTGCCTGCTCGGGGCTCACTTAAACACTCTCTTACATTTTTAAAAGGTCTTTCTGTAGTGTATTCCATTCCTACTATGTGAGCATTTCCCTAGCTGACCTACCTCTCACTAACCTGGGTGGCAGATGTGGGAGAAGCCTGATGAAGGCCCCCGCCCCCCAGTGAAGACAGACCGCTGCAGGCCTTTCAGGAGCTGCGGCATGATCTGCTTTATGTTTTCCCAGGAATCTAATTGGTCACAGTGATACAAGATACTAACATAAAGACAACTGGGAAACTTTTTTTTTTTTTACCTGCTTGGCCAAACACACAGCAAACTGAACTGATCAGTCCAATCCAAATAATCAGGTGTAAATTCATCTGAAATACAAAATACATCGTTATGTTGTGAAACAAAAAAATAAAAAATACATTAAACATAAAACATTCCCATTCTCCTTATATTCTGTGATTTTATAAATACCCCTCAAAACCTTTCTTCGCCAGCCCTTCTCCACACGTTATCCATGTCTCCTCCCAGTCACTCCACCTTTCAGACACTACTAAAATAACTTCCTTACCAGATTCCATTCTTGCCTTTCTCCAAACCAAATATATGCTAACATTTAATTAACAGTGCTCAAAAAAGAATCACAGTGTCAAGTATTCCCTAACACCCCAAAGCTATGAACAACATCTGTCCCCTGGAATCTCTAGCTCCCTTATCTTTCAGATGCCTCACATCCCTCAATAACAACTGTTAGAGCGGACCTGTTAAAATCCTGATTGCAACATCCCCTTGCTTACAACTTTTCAAGTTTTATGTCTCCTCAACATCATGCACAAAGTCCTGACTTAGTTTTTCAGTTTGATCTCCTGTAATTATTTTTCTTTCTGAAGAATATCAACTTCATGCACAGAATTAGTAAAATTTCCTGTAATATCTACATCTCCAAACTAGACCAAAAGAAGGTAGGTGAAGTAGGCATGAGAAGAACTGACGGAGGCTTGAGTGTTTTCCAGAACCACTAAAGAAAAATTAAGTAATACTCTGTATACTAAGCAGAATACTTCAATCTTCAGCTATCACATGAGTATTTTCTATAGATTAAGGTTTTCACAATATTAGTCAATGCCTTACCAGAGTTGGTTAAAGACTGCTATAACCACAGGTTTCCCTCTATCCCTGAACTGCTTAGTGCTCTTGGACTAAAGGACAGTCTAATAATTAGGCATAAAAATACCTGCCTCTCCTACAAGAATACAAAAAAACAAAATACATAACAGCAACAAAAGGGTAGCTTTACTAGTTGTCAAAGAAACATAAATTAAAGCAAAACAAGGCAAACTAGCAAGAGAAACAAAAAAGTTTTTAAACCAACAAAACTTACTGCAGATGGCTGAAAGGAACCAGAGAGGGCTCTAAAAACTGGTGTGAATTTGGGGGATATAATTAAGCAACCTATATCAAAAGCTATAAAAAAATATTTCTATCCTTTTAGTAATCTAGTGATGGGGAACTCATTCTAAGGAAATAATTAAAAATATAAAAGGTGACATACACACATACATGTTCAGCATAGAATCTAGTATATTTACAACAGGCAAAAATGGAACATACTTTACCCAGTACTAGGGAAATGGCTAACTCCATCAACATACGGACTGCTACAGTCATACAAATAATAAAGTATAGTAACATCAGAGCTTTATAGAATAATTTTAGATGCAAAGTACACGTTAAGATGGCAAGTATGTGAAAATAACCGCATATGAATAAATAAAGTAACCAGAGAGGCCTGGAGATGACAGAGAGTTATATGCATGATAAAAAGACAATGGGGTTTTAAATTGTTAAGGTGTTTTCTTCTTTTTGCATTCTTAATAAAAACATTTATGACAGAGTAACTGTGTGGAATTTTTTTCTTTCTTTGTAAATGTCCTTTAATAAGAAAAAAAATATCTTTTAAAACACCTCCATCTTTAGGAGCTATTCCCAGAACTTCAAGAGTGTGCTTTAAAGCTGTGCTCAGAGCGCCCCTGGGGCACTTGCGTCTCCTAAATGTTTGTGTTTTCTCTGTTGGCTTCCCAGAGAAAGCAATGAGTAACTTGCACCGTCATCCAACTTGAAATTGTGCTCAGACCAGCAATTTCTGTTATGTATCGAGCTTACAGTTTTGCTTGCATATCACTTGGAAATGCACCCACAGGCCAACAAAAGCTGTGTCACACAAGTGTGGAAGGCCTAACAGTTCACCTTTTAAGGCCTGGCCAGAAGATTGAACATGTAATAAATCCATGTAGACTGAAATTTAAAGCAGTTCAGATAATGCTATTGATTCCAGAACTATGACTACAGGGGCCTGGAGCACGAACACTCCTGAGGAAATGCACGGCTGTGACGAATGGGGCATCTGGGCAGCTGCTACACAAAGTAAACAGAACATGTATCTGTTCCATAAATTGTCTGATACATGTTTTTTCAAAATACTACTCAGGCTGTTTTAAGGACCACTAGACTGCCTTGAGAAACCTTTAAAAATATTATATAATTCAGAGAATCATCACTAAAATAAAGTTATTAGATAACTATTTATGTCTCAACATTCCTAATCTATGTAACTTTAATACTTTGAGGGCCACTGTCCTTTCCCTTCTATAAAGCTTGACAAGCCAATGCTTCTGAAGCCTTCCTGCCCCTGGAAGAGCTCCAAAGCCCGAAGCAAGCAAAACCAGGCTTTTATGTTGAAGAGCAGCTGAGAGCAAGGACAAGGCTGAGAACAGATCAAGGACAGATGTCGGCTGGCTGGAGATGTCTGCGGGTCTGCACTTCCTCTCGGGGAAGAAAGGAGCTGCAGGGGACAATTACTAGAGGAGGTCAGTCAGAAGAGGCCCTGGGGAGCACAAGCAGCGAGCCGCAGTCAACCTGGTGCAGCAGAGGCTCGGCAGCAGCCCCTCCCCAAACCCTGACAGTCTCCCAAGGACTGTGGGGGAAGAAGGGCACACCACCAGCTTCTCCAGCACTTCAAAACTGTCTGAGGCAGCACTTCTCACAGTGTGGTCCAGGGGATGACTGCACCAGATCTATCTAGGTGCCCACCCCAGGCCTAAAATCCACCATTTTTGGAGGGTGGGGCCTTACTCCAGATAACTCCAGAGATTCCCAGCAATGACACTGCACACAGAACAGTTCATTGTGAGGGGCCAAGAGGGAGATGTGCCTTCAGGTACTGTCCTAATGTCTCCGCTTCATGGTCAAAGGCCTAGAAATAACTGTCCCCATTGTTCTCATTGTGTAACCCCCTTCTCCCTCCTCCTCCTGCTGTACCTGGTGTCCTCCTCTTCCTACCATGCATGTGAAACTGCTCTTGCAAAAAAAAAACTTTCCAGGCCTTCTCTGCATTCACTCAAAATCTCCACCTCTAACATGCACTTGGGGAGATATGCTGGCTTACCACCCATAGAATGCACACAAAGCAACATTTAACACATTTCACCGTTCTTGCTTCACACACTCTAGTCCTTTGGACTTTACCGGTTTCTCCCCTGCTTCTCTGGAAGTTCTTCCTTCGCCAACTATGGCAGACTTTGTGCCAAATCTAGACATACAAAGATCACTGTCTCAAGGTATTTTCAGTTAAAAGACAAAAAAATACAAGTAGTTACAGGATGAGGCAGTGGATTCTGTAATGAAAATAAGGACAAAGTGCACTGAGGACACAGAAATCTGCCTGGGGAAGTTCAGAGGCTTCATGGGGACAGCAATTTTTCAGCTAGAATTGCAGACATAAAGGAAACAGGTAGGCAAATGGAGAGAAAGATTTCAGGCAAAAAAAAAAAATTCCGAGCACATGCAAAACCAGGAAGTTCCCAGAAAAATTATAATAACTTCTTCCCAATCTTATTTCTAATATATACCTCCAAGGATTCCCCTCCAACTGGGATTGTCTTGCTCCTCCTATCTTTACAGAAAAAAGACTAGAACAAAATATATTTTTATGTTATTTATAATTAAATCTAGTCTGTGGGATGAGTGATTATTTTATCCCTGTACAATAAGTATAAATTATGTTAAAATCTTGAAATATCATAAACGCCAAAATCATCTTAGAGTACTGAAGAATTTCTGAGACCTAAATTACGAGGTAGAAATAACGGAAACTGAGCCAGAAAGCAGAAGGTAGGTTACATGGAGCCTTAGATGCCACCCAGGCTGAGCGCATTTAGATTCCATTCTGTACGTACAGGGACCTGAAAAGGTGGGGCAGGGAAAGTAACACGGCAACTTATCCACGGCAGAGAATAATTAGCAAGACAGAGGGTGAGCAGCAACATAGCAGCTACAGGGCAGGTACAAAATTCACAGCTAAGGTTCAAATAAGAAATGACAAACATCTGAATTCAGAGTGGCAGTGGACAGGACAGTGAGCAAGCAAGCAATCAGGAGGCCGCAGAGTGGGATCTGAGGGCGGCTCAGACAAGGGAGGGTGAGGGCGAGAAAAGAATCATCACTTTGACATGAAGGCAACAGGAAAAAAATGAAGTGAGGGGAGAAGACAGTGACTGGCTTCAGAAATGTGGAGTGTGACATGCCTGTGGGAAATCCAGGGAAGATGCCCACTGGGAAAGTAGGACATGGGTCTGGGCCCCAGGAGGTAAGTCAGGGTTAGAGATAAATCCCTGAGAGTTGTCACTGTAGAGGTGGCAACTGAAACCATGAACATGGATGAGAAGGTGAAGAAAACAACAGTTGGGAAGAGCAGAGGGCAGGCGTGACAAGGTGAAGACGCGGGACAGAGAGTAACGGAGGGACTAGGCCCCTCTGGGGCAGGAAGCCTGCCGCCCTGAAGAGAGGTGCAGTGCCCTTCCTCCAAGTCATCATGGTCATACATGACAGCCTCTGATTTTTTCTGAAAGGAGTCAAGGACATAGCTGGGAGAAAAAGAGGCAGGGCTAGGGGGTGGAAGAAAATCAGGAAGATGCAGTAGGATCATGGAGCAAAGCTGGGCCCAGCAGGGAGGAGGCACCCTCATTTATAAAGGCAGTTAGTGACAGTCACTCCCTTCAAACTACCTGTTGATACCATCTTCCCTTATGGGTTCCAGGTTCCAGGAAGACAGGGTCTTGGTGTGTCTGATTCAGTTATAGCACCTAGTAGTGCTTCTCACAAAGCCAATGCTCAAAAATGTTTGCTGAACTATATTAAAATGTGTAACATTTTTATTCCAACATTACTCAAAAGCCCAGGAAAGAAGCATTTCTTAGGATCGGTAATGTACAGACACTCGTTAGATATAATAATAAATGCACATACCCTAGGGATAACAATTTTCAATTCACTCAAGTATATACAAGTCAACTTAAAAGCTAGATGCAAAACGCCTCATGCTCCTGGCTCTTATACCTTATGATCCAAAATTCACACATACAAACACAAACTAGGTACTGAAATAAGAACTACC